AACTGTTATTACTACTGAGAATATATCCTTAGTCTTACTCATAAAAAAGTAATTTATATATATAATAGCTGACCCGGGAAACGTTGTTTTTTCATATAAAAAAATAGGGGTTGCTAATAAAAAAGTAAAAATTTTGTGTTTTATGCATTTTTTAATGCTACCTTGTAAAATATTAAAAAAAAGCATTTCGTCCTAAAATAAAAAATAATAATTAAGAGTGAATGACCCTTGTGACTTAGGGGTATGAAAAATATATTTTGCCGATTTTCGGACCTACTCAATATGCTCACAAAATTTCATAAAAATTGGTCGAGCCGTTTCGATGGAGTTATCTGTCTAACACCGCGACAGGAGAATTTTATATATAAGATATATAGGAAACTATGATTTCGAGTTATATATATCTTAAATTAAACTACATATATTCAATAAAATCACATATTAGTTTATCTTTTTACTTTCGTCACTATATTTAACTTTAATCTCGTTAACCGTGAACGCGGTTCTTGTAATCCAATAGTCAGGTTAATATCAAATATAATCAGATATACAAACGAGTTAGACCCGCGGATACAGGTATATTTAAACTTTAAAATACATCTACTACCTAGAAATGAAAAATGTCGCTGTTACAATGGTTTATTTTCTTACTTTAGACAAATTACAATAACATTGTGTAATTCAAATTAGATTGTGCCATAAAAAATCTATTGACATTTACAAAAAACAATAATGATAATAAACTATACGAAATTACTTTGAACTTTTGTATGTAATATATTTTTGTTGAATTCTTTCATACTGTAAATGACATTAGCTTTATTGAATGGGATGGTCGTGGTGGCTTGTGGTTAAAGGCCCGCCTCTCGTACATGAGGGTGCAGGTTCGAAACTTGGTAAGTACTAATATGATTTTTCCGAATCATATGTACTTTCTAAGAGTAAATTGACATCACTGTTAGATTGTAAAGGAAAACATCGTGAGGAAACCTGGACTTATAATATCAGAATTATAAGTTTGAAATCACCAACCCGTCTTGAGCAAGCGTGGTGATTAATGCTCAAATCTTCTTCATGTGAGAAGAAACCTTTGCTCAGCAGTGGGCTCTGATAGACTGATGACGATTATTGAATGATGGTAAAAATATAAATTAACAAAGAAAAACCGAATAAGTTCGTTCCAGACTACAAAAATAGATAGTATATCCATCATATAAGATTATTTTATATAAATAATGAATGTCGTTACAATACAGAATACATAAAGAATACTGTGTATTACACTTAAATAGCAGTGTCGGAATATCAAGTAACAGTAAATTAGTTAAAGACATGTCTGGTCCTTTCATAGGGTCGGTTGAAGATTATCTTGTAATAAAAAACCGGACAAATGCGAATTCGACACCCGCTCAGAAAATTACTATAAGATTCACAACTATATAATAATAAAGATTTATTTTTTCTATAAGAATTACATATGCGTTAAAGTAAATATTATAATATGAAAAGGGTTAACAAATTAAAAGGAACACGTAATTGTTTGTTTGAATCGACCCTCTACGAGTAATAGCCTCCAAAATCAATGCCAGGGGTCTTTGTCATTGGTTTAGTCATTTTTGACCTGCCACTTACATTATGTCGTCTGTTCATCTCTAGTTTCTAGTGTCTAATGTCTCATGGCCCAGACCTTAATGATTCTTATCCACCTGTCGTCTTCGAGCCTGGTTACGTGACCTGCCCACTTCCATTTTCTTTGAAGTCAGAAAGTTAATGTATCTATTACGTTGGTTTTTCCGTATTTCTACATTTCTCACTTTGTGTTTCCATTTAATACCATGGTGGTTTCTCAAGAAACAAATGAAAAAGTCAGATCAATAGTTATAATATTCATAACTGTAGATACTAGATACATAAACTATACTATGACTGGAATTGATTGGATATATTAATAATATTTAATACACTTTTGCAAATGAATTTCTACAAGCGATATACACAGATATTAAATTTAATAGATAAACTATACTTTAAAATTAATACATATTACATATATGTGAAAATATAATTTTTAATAAATTTAAATTTTATGATTTATTATCCCCCTCGGTTATTACTATAAACTACTAGAATATAACAAACACATAATTTGTTGTTTGTCACGAATAAGAAATTAACATAAAATTATACTTTATTTATTTTATTTTATTAAATATTTTTTTACCTATAATTATATTGACGTTTATATTTAAAACGAATGCAGACACCATATATATATATATATACATATTTGTGTGTGTCGCTAACACGAGTCGTACGTTTCAAGGGTCCTTGATACCAATTAAAATGAACACATTAATCGACGCTTGACAACCCTGACTAATTACGAACACACCATTTATATTGAATCAAAAGAAAGTGGTGACATTATTAATTGAAGACTTCATTATTATCACAACTATTATTTCTAACAATTTTTATATAAATTAAACTAATATTTTATATAAATTAAACTAATATTTTTTTGGATTATACTACACGTATTATTAATTTAATCGTCTGTCCGTGATCACGGTTGCTGAATAGTAACCGTAACGTCGGGAGTATGTACTTTAAAATAATAAAATACGAGGAGTAACCTGAAAATATCAGTTTCATTTGAATAAATACTCTCAAAAGTCTTACACCTCATTATGTGAATTTTTGTCTATTTATTACACTAGATTTTTTCAGACTTCCAAAATGTTAGCAAAAAACTAGTACACATTGTTCTTTATTTAGTACTTATTTAATAAATGAATCATTAAATACTTCAAATTATGTATTTTTTATCAATTTTTATACTTGATCAATCAATACGTATGTATATAATCTTTGTTTATTTCTTTTTGTAATCTAAATAATAAGGTATTATAATATCATACAAAATGAAAATGATGGATTATATGTATGAGATTGCATTAATTAATTACGTCAATATATCTACAATAATATTTTATAACCCACATATTAAAAGAAATACATATAAATTATTCATATTTGCTAAAAATAAATTCTCATATTAACTCACGGTTAATAGTTGTTTGTGTCAAAAACATTGTGTGAATACCGTGTAAATGTTTCTTTTGAACACGCGGCCGACACGAGTTCGGACCAACTGAAGTTAATTTACCATCGGATAAACATTTTTAATGCGCTTTCAAAATTTACACGGCGTTAACAATGTCGTAATTATTTATGATATTTCTTCTCATATATCAGTAATGGCCAAGTATATAATAATATTTAATAATTATCATATATATATATATGTAAATGAAGCTCATTTATATGTTGTTAATTGAAACAAAAAACTGTAATTGTTGCTCTGTAAAGAGAAACAACATTAAGAGCTATTGCTTCAATTTCTATTTTAAACAATCGTTATTCCTTTTCAAATATCTTGTTAAACTTAAACGTACAAAACCAGAGAGCCTTTTTCTACAGATTAAAATATATGTATAATGAATGCAGAGTAAAAACTGGTGCTACCATAGATAATAAATTATAGTAAGTGTAATTATTAAATTAAATGAAGAATAAATGAGCTTCATTTACATATATATTAAATTACAGTAGAAAAACCTTACTTTGGTTTATAAAATAGTGATAGTTTCCAGTAATACCTCGTCAGCAACAAACGCATCTCATTATGTGCACTGTAATTTCGCGACTGTGTATGTATAATCTTTGTATTTGGAATATTTCTTTTCTCCTACTAAATGTATAAGTATTTTAAACCTTATTATCTATGCAATATAAGTCATAGGTTTCATTTTTATGAGGTAGTGTGATAGTCAGGGGCTAATTATTTATATATAAAATGTTACAAATTCCATCAATCACTTGATCTCATTTTGACGCGCTTCCTCTTATTTGATTCCATATTTTATGAAGACAGATATTGCAACAGCTAACCAATATAAAGTTCCGGCAATCTGTTAGCCATTCTTTTAATATTTAGAACAAAAAAAGCAAAGACTCGTCTAAAAATTGTTCAGAAATCAGACCATTCCGTATGTTTCAAAGTAAAGCTCTCGACGAAATGTGCGCCTAATACATGAAGAAACGTAAATTATCATTTAAGAAGCAAATGAAAATAAAGTGTTTTTGAAACCGCAGCATTCGTCTTGAATATGAATTGGGCAGATCTTTTTATTTGGTCGTATTTGTTCAGCCTCCAATGAACGTGATGTTCCCTCATGTGAATAGATTCTTTTTATTCTAATATAAGATTAGTTATAGGCCTTGTTCTATCATTTTATTTATAAATGTTAAAATAACACTTGAATTCTTGAATTATGAAAATGATCAAGAATAATGAAAAAGATCTTTTATTATTACATATTATTTATGACTTTCTTTATTATGTCAACAATAGAGAAACATAAAATTACAATAAAGAGTCATAGTAATCTCGATAATAATGATAGTAAGACGGCTGAAATAAGAAAAATATGAATTAGTATATAAATTATATGACACTACGTAAGTCATGCTTGACTCTAGACTCTATTAGAGGTGGTTATGTTATGAGGAAAATAATTTTCCTATATTTTTAAGGTTAATATTTTACTGCTGGGCTTAGAATGTTGAGGATAAAGAAGACACTAACTAGTTCACGATTTATTTCCGCGAGAGTACAATACGACACTGAATTACATGTGCAAAGATTCGACTTTTATACATGATTTATATCAAAGAATATGTGACACAGATGTGACACATTTAAGACAAAGAATATGTAACTTACTAACTGTTTACTTAAATACCTATGTGGGTATACGGCACATTTTTATTCTGTTGTTCTGTTGTTGTTCTGTTGTCATTCTGTTGTTCTGTTGTCATTCTGTTGTTCTGTTGTTCTGTTGTCATTCTGTTGTTCTGTTGTCATTCTGTTGTTCTGTTGTCATTCTGTGGTTCTGTTGCCAGCCCGCTGTCGGCCGTGGCGCGGTGATGTCGGAATGGAGGTGGTCGCGCTGGTGGTGTGCGCGCTGGTGGTAAGCGCAGCTCCCAACGCCACGCGCCGCCGAGACGCGCCGGACCACGATGAAGACGAACAGCTCGACTACTACGATGAAGCTAAGATCAATATATCAGGTCAGTGACGTACAGGCTTGACGCAGAACCAGCATATATTGATACGTATCAATATTAACAGCGCTAGCGGCCTGATAGTGACAGAGAAACGTATACAACTCTGATGTAATATTAATTATATAGCGTGGCAACAGGAAGTTCCAGGAAAACTATGAAACTTATTGAGAATTACATATTAAAACTTTTAACCTACACCTAATACTACATGATTGTCCCGATGTTAGGATAGCAATACCATTCCATAGCTTGTGTGTATCAGGAATCTTCTGGTTCACACGGCTTGGTCTTCGTTCCGCGGAGTCAGCGGCGTCACTCGTTATATGATATGTTATACATACAACGATGTTGCCCCGGTTATGTTCAATTATTTTTTAATATATTGAGCTTACGTAACACATTCAAAATTAATTATTTCTTCAGCAGTTTTAAATGAACCAACAATATCTAAACAGTACCTATTATTAGCTTCCTTATATATTATTATATAGAAGTGATAAATGTCCAGCTTTTCTTGAATACGAGCTGTATTTTACGTGCTTGTAATTTTCCACCAGCTTAGGTTTATTGGATTTCGGTGGATTAGTCAGAGCGCATGAAGATATTGCGTACTGTTTCGTGACATGCACAATACGTGCTGTAACATTTTATATCTCTTTTAGTACAAAAATCCTTATATACAATATACATATGTACATAAAATAGATTTCACTTAATTAACAAACATATGAGACGTAAATTTAATATTTATATATGCCACGGATAATATCCAATTAACATATGTTAAACAGAAATGAATCTGATTTCTGCTTAATTTGATTTATAGTCAGATTATATACGCCTTCTGACGTCTATTTACGAATATACTTATGTCATAAATCTATTTTTACATATAAAATATTTTACATATAAAGGAGGCAATCAAAAGATTATTTATCAACATTATTGAACACAAAGTGATAAGTTTTCTGTTCAGGAATAGTAGCTGAAATGGCTCATTTGATTCGAATTCGTCTTCGTACTTGTGTACTGTGGTAGGCCTAAAAGATATTGTATTTTAATTACATAATTAATTAATAAGTCACCAACAAGACGTATACAAGGTCATCCTCACAACCTATTCCTGATAGCAAATGTTTTAATACCCATAAATAACTCTATTTAACACCGCAACAACGCAATGAGTAGAAAGTAGTTTGACTGCGCAGTGATTTCAAAAAGTCAAACTCGCAAATTGTAACGACGCTTGAATATATTGAGCTGAATTTTTGTTATAAAACGAAAGTTTGAAAACATTAAAGCTTTGAAACGTTCAGTAGAATTTTAACCGGCAGTAATAAAGTTAAAACAAGAACTTCTAAATAAATTTTGTAAATTTTATTTAGACACAATATTTTTACTTTAATTCATGGCTTATAAATTCTTAAGTAGGTACATGTTATTTAATATATCTCTCGAGCATCTGTGTCTCTTACAAACAACCAATAATATCTAATGAAATTTGACTATTGAATCCATATTGGAACAATCTAATTCTTTACTTTTATAAGGTTATCTCAAGGTTAGTGTGACTTAAAAAATATCTAAAAATAAATCTCTAGTCTATTTACTGAGGTTAAAGGTCCTTTTAATCTATTTCTGATAAAAAAAATCCCAGACTGTCATTCATACAGTTGTTTGGTGGAAATTTTCTTACTATAATACAATAGCTTTACTTAAACATTTTAAAAATAGGTATACTAAAAATAAGAAAGAAAGAAAGAAATTTATTAAATGTATTTACGTTAGTTCTGAATTTTAAATGTATATATGAGGTCGGAAAGATTTTCTTATATACATATTATCAAGAGACGTAAATAACTTTAAATAAAACCATTTTTCTACTTTTTAGTATTTACTTCGTCTAATGTATTATTTTATATTTCACTCGATGAATTTATTACTCTGCAGTAATTATGAATACTGGCAGATGATATAAAAGTTCTTGTCGTTTCCTATGTTAGTATATATGTAATTAGGATGTCTTTTGATTCTCATAGCTGTCTTGTGAATACGGTTGCAATGACTTGAGATAAACATTATTTTTAATGACAGATATTTTCTGTAATCATTGTACAAAGGCTCCTTTTTGTTTGTACAATATATGGGAAATTACAGATAAAATCAAGTGTGTATAGACCCGCTTACAGTAAAGGATATTCTTTATGGGTCTCAAGAATTTACACACAGTTTTACAGGGTTTAAATGTTTTTATGTAGATATTCTTCCAAGTGTTGCCTTTCCTGTCAATTACTCTTTTTACATATAAGTTAACTAGTTATATGGCAGATAGTCGATCAATTATGACTTAAGCCGTTTTTCCAAAAAAAAAAACTATTTAAGATTTTTTATTTTAATTTTTTATGAGCAAAATTATTTTGGAACAGACATACGTAAACACAAGATAATAAATATTTACGAGAAGACAATAGTTTCATTTGATTTAATCAAATTGTATCATACAAAGGCTTCGCATTCCCATAAAACATAGTAAATAGGTTTATATAACACGAGGAAACGTATTTGAGGGCAATAAGATATGGCCAGTGGCACCAATGCCGCGTCCTACTTGTAACTGGAATAAACGCTCTTGGCTTTAATGCTCCGACACTATTCCTTTTAAGCCAGTTATATGGTTGCGCAATAAATTCCAAACATCTATTGTTCTTAATCACCTATTTAATTTCACCATAATAAATCTATACCAAATTATTCTCTTAAATCTTTAAATGTTCTTTTTTCTTCTACCTGGCAATTTCCCAGCTTTAGCCAGGGTCTGCCTTACATGTTGTGAATAGTTTTGGCTAATTGTTTTTACGACCGGCCGCCTGCCTGGCGTCAACCCTCTTTGGGAATGCATTAATCAGTGATGTCTAAATATTCTTAGAAAGTACATATGACTCGGAAAAATCACATTGGTACTTGCAAGGGCCAGGATCGAATCCACGCCCTCGTTCATGAGAGGCGGGCCTTTTAATCACTAGGCCACCACTGACTTTTTGTTATTGGATATTAATTAAATTAAAAAAATCTGTGTCTCAATCGTATTATGAATAAAACATGAGTGATATTTAACGAAGTGATAGAGAGGTAGTTTCATTTGGAATTGCTGTGAAAACTTATTTTCCGTAACAATAGCCCGGGTGTTTGAGAAAAACGTTGCATTCAAAATAGATTATTTCCACTCTGAATAGCTGAGGCCGCCAACAATCTAGCTTTGGATTTTGACTCGCAAAGCAATGTGATGTTAATTGGTCGTGAATCTTAGCTTGGAAAATTATTCTTTGTATTGAATTAAATCTCAGTTTTTTAATAGTTTATTAAAATTTAAGTTTGAATTTATTTATTATATTATTTGTAAAACTCTATTTAGATCTCATTTCGAAACTTAATTAGTTTTTTAATAGAAGGTGTTTTTTATAATGAGGTCACATATTTCTCATAATTGATGTATACCTTCAACTAATTTATGATAATTCATATTTTATTCCTTCAAAACGAATAAGAATATACATATAAAGATTTTCTATTTTATAATTTAATGTCAATTCCCTGAACGTCTTCTAGAGAAATATATTTATAAACAAAATGAGAGAAGACTTCGTATTTTATTTATTGAAGTATACTCGTATCTCAAACAAACCTCTTATTGATACTGACAACATCTTTATAACATGTGCAAAATAAAATAGAAATCATAATACTGAATAATAAGAATGTGAGCTATTAAAGAAAAATATATACATACTAGTTTTTTCCCGCGACTTCGTCCGCGTTCATTTCGTCAGTAATATATGTATAGCTGACCGGGTGAACTCTATTCCGTCTTACAGGCCATAAATAATCAGGTTTTTCCTGTTTTAACCAATAACCATCAACCTATGTGTTATTCTGATGTATAAGCTATATTGTGGTAAAGTTTCATTCAAATCCATTCAGTAGTTTTTACGTGAAAGAGTAACAAACATCCATACATCCATACTTACAAAATTTCGCCTTTATAATAGTAGTAGGATAATACCTATTTTATTAATATCATTTAAAAGATATTATTTAATATGAACCAACTTAAAACACCTACAGTATCCGATTTCTTACAACACGTAACGCCGGGTTATAAGGCTTGTGCCAGTCCACACTTGCAATGATCAATATCAGAACTAGGACAGCCGTCAAAAGATATCAGTGTCGTGGAAAATTAACTATTTACAATATCAAAGGCTGCACAATGACGCAAACTAAAAATGCACAACTCTCCTACCAATTTTGATTATCATTTATTCACACAAAATACTGCATTACATGAATTTTATTCGTTTAAATTGTGTCAAACTAGATTTTAGATTTTATTTTACGGACAAAATTATCACTTACAAAGTCATATGTACATATATGCAAACTCCGAATCGTAATAATGCTAATATGTATTTGGTAGTTATTTTAAGTGAACAATTTTTATGTTAAAACTTTTTTCTTTTCGTGTGTTAAGTTTTGAAAAATATTATCGTGCTTCAAACATTTTGTGTATTTTAGCATTTAAAATTATTGAGTCAGCGGTGGCCTAGTGGTTAAAAGGCCCGCGTCTCATGCACGAGAGCGCGGGTCGATCCTGGCTTAAGCAAGTACCAATGTGATATTTCCCAGTTATATGTACTTTCTAAGAGAATTTAACACATCACTGATTAATGCATTCTCAAAGAGGGTTGATGTCAGGCAGGCGGCCGATCGTAAAAACAATTAGCCAAAACTATTCACAACTTGTAAGGCAGACCCTGGCTAAAGCTGGGAAATTTCTAGGAAGAAGAAGATAATTTAAAATTATTATAGTTCCCTTTGTAAAATGTTGAATAGAATCAAATTTTCCCGGAACATAGGACATGACAATTAAAATTATTTCATATTTTCAGCACTATCTCCGCTATCTATACTAATTAAGCTTTGTTATAGTCATCCGGATATAATTG